AAAAGAAGGGACCTAAGGAAATGTAAGACCAATCCCAAACCTGCTCTCCATTGTGTGGGCAGAAACCAGTTTAGGAACGACATAGGGAACTTCTGTTCTGACCCAACCAACCTTCTGATACTGCTCAGCCTCACAGGGGAATGGCTGGACTCTCCCCATTGTCTTAACTACAATGCCCCATTTATTTCACAGGGTGGAAACATGCCTGTGTGTACTCTTGAAACCACTCTCTTCTCCTGAAGCCACCGAAGCATGTCTCTGCTTGTTCAGCATTTTACAGCACTATCACATGCCACCAGAGTCATTACAAAACCCCACTGTATGTCAACTCCATGTCTCTGGCTGTTGCCTCGCAAGGTCCAACCAAGCACCTCTTTGTAAAACACTTGCTAATTCGGGAGATTTACAGATTTGAGAAAACTATCTAATTGCTAAAGCCGGTGACAAAAAACATGTGAGCTCACTATAGCTGCAGAAAGACTTTGAGCTTTAGGTTTTGCCCAGCACCAGACCAAAAAGGAAATCCTGGCCCCACAGAATGCAGAAGAGCCAGACCACCACTTTGAGCATGGACAGTCCAAGGTTTTATCTTTCCTTGCAGGTCAAATGAAAAAGAAAAGGTTCCCAAGACAGTAGGTTTGTTTTCCCTTAAAAAACAACCAACCAACTAAAACCCCCTTGTTTTTCAAGTTTACTCATACGAGACCTATGTCCTCCTGTCCCGCCTGCTCCTTCTCTCCTCACTGGCTACCAAAGCCTTTTCTCCAGACATAAAATACATTTGGTCTATAAAGAGGCCATTCTCCATGTACAGGTGCATTTGAGTAACTCTCAGAGGCTCTGAAGTGCAGCCAACATGCAGAAATATAAAACCCAAGAGGACCGAGTCTTGTTTCACCTGGGATGGGTTTATCTTACACCGCTCTGTTCTCCAGGGGAGCTGCCCGTTTCCACTCAGCCGTAAGAAGCAGGCATTTTTGACAAGATGTTTCTGGACTCAAACCTGACCAAATGCTCTTGATTTTGGGGGGGAAGGGGTTAAACTCTATTTTGTTAGAAAAGAAACCCTGATGCTCTGTATTTCTGTGGTATTTCCACAGCAGAAATTAAAGTTGTCTTTTTTCTCAGGTCTATAAGAGAAAAATCATGTATTAAAGCACAACATGGGGCAGGTGATAGATCACATATGTGCTGTTGGAAGGTATTAAGATATGATGATTACAAGTGCTGAATAAAATGCCTAAACAGAAAAGAAGATAATGAAGAAGGGATGAGCTCCACAATGCTATAGTTACCCGAGTGGAGACTACACACATGGGGCAGCAGGGTGAAAGCAACAGAGCAGTGCTAGGCTCCCTGTAACCCACAACAATTTCATGCCAAATACACAGCCTGTAATTTGAAATTCCCACAATGAAGAACACACATACATAATTTCCAAAGCAAATTACAGAGGCACCCTCGAAATTCCAGGGCAGAATACAAGGGGACTGTGTCTTACAACATTATTCCAAAACTTGAACTAATATGGAAGGCAGCGTGTGCTTGCCTGGCATTTGGGAAGCACACCACATTCGTGTTCTGCTGCCTCTCTTCATGGCCATCTGGCTTTGAGATGGAATCAGAAGCATTAGCCCTAAAAGAACCTAAGTCTGCTCAAACTGCCCCAGTAGTCATTAGCCATGGTGCTCCTCTGAGGGTTGGTGCAGCAGAGAGTGAATAGGATTTGAAATGCCCCTTCTGAGAAGAATTCAAACCTGGTTTAGCTGTGAGGCTTGGGCTACAAAGACAGAGAAGAGCTACACTAACTCAGCCTAGCACAGAATTACAATGTCTGTCCTGAAATTCAATACACCACAGCATGGTTTCCTTCTCCCCTTTGGTTTATATCAATAATCTAAAACAAAATACAGAAAAATGAAGAATTAGGAAGAGAAAGGACATGAAGTATGCATTACAGCAGTAGGTGCTACCTACATCCTATATAGTTGTGGGGTTCCTTTAATTGAAATAATTATTTATATACTGTTGTTTCTTAATTCATTGTGAACTAGCAAAGAAGTCTATTAACTGCTTCTAAATTGTGTGTTCACCTGAGTAACTGGCAGGAAGGCTCATATTTGAAACAGTATCTATTTCTTGCTAATGATTGCAATACCCCCTATGCCAGCACCCCTAGCATACGTAACCTTATAGTTCAGTCATTTATACAATGCTCTCTTCTTCTAACTTAGTTTAGTGCATGATATGTAAGTTTGCTCTCACACAGGACAGCTGGTCTACATTCACAGGCAGAAGAAAACTGCACATGTAAACTCTGTGGCTAAAGCCTGCTGGAAGCACAATGAGTAACCAGAGCAGCTTGGAACAAAGCAGACAGAGAAAATGGGATATAGAAACACCTGATTTGATACCTACAACAAGCCTTTATTAAGCTTCTTAAAGCTTAACACCCTTCTGCTGGCTGCAGCCAGCATGTATGTGAAGGAAAAGGAAACTTCCTTCTTCTTTCATGTGCTGTCCTTTACAACGGAAAGATATTTTTCCTCATTTTTATGGTGATTAGGTTGTTCTGGGAATTATAAGACTGAGTCTATCTTCCATCAGCTTATGTAACTTCGTACTAATGGTTCTAAAAATGACAGAGCCACAGCACTTGTTCTGTTCTCTGAAAGATGATCCATGCACATCATACGCAACTGCTCCCACATTTACTTGCTCAAGTAATCCCATTAATACAGTGCAGAATCATAGAACCAACCAGGTTGGAACAGACCTTTAAGATCATCAAGTCCAACCATCCCCCCAGCACTGCCAAGGCCACCACTAACCCATGGCACTCACAGCCTCATCTACCTGGTTTCTGAACGCTTCCAGGGACAGTGACTCCAGCACTGCCCTGGGCAGCCTGTTCCAATGCCTGAGCACCCTTGGGGAAGAAATTGTTCCTAACACCTATCTAAACCTCCTCTAGTGCAGCTTGAGGCAGTTTCCTCTTGTCTTATTGCTTGCTACTTGGGAGAAGAGACTGATCCTCACCTCCCTACAACCTCCTTTCAGGCAGTTGTAGAGAGCTATAAGGTCCCCCCTTGAGCCGTCTCTTCTCCAGACTAAACCCCCCACCAGGTCCCTCAGCCATTCCTCACAAGACTCATTCTTCAGACCCTTAAGACATCATTTTAATAACTTTTCTATGTTCAGGCTTTGTGTCGTTTTTCTCTTGTCATTGGCACTCCTACCTCTCTTAACTGCCATCTCTTCATGCTCCCTTCTTGCACCCACGAGAAGCCCTAGACTATTACTCCTATTGATGCTACTGGCCACATCCAGCCTGCTGATGGGTCCACAATGGTTTTTGTCCTTTGTTGTACTGTCAGGGCAATTTTTAAGAGCTCCATTCAGATAAACAAAACATATTCTGCTTTCACTGCCTGGTTTTGATGTGGCAAACCTTGAGCTCTCTCCATGTGCTGAGCCAAAGCGACTGGAGCATGCAAGACTGATTTTTGCAGTTATCTGCTCTTGGTCCCACAGTCAGAAGAATATATTGCAATGAGTTTGTGGAACAAACTGACCTGGTTTTGTTTCTCTTCAGATCTGCACCGAGCTCTTTAGATTAAATACGATGTCTCATCCTAAGTGACTCACTCCTGCAGCTAGCTAAACTCAAACTGTCTTCTTTAAAGCCTGCAGTCTAAACAATACATTTTATTGTCACAGCTACGTGGACATGAGTTAAAACAACTTTACAGTCTGAAAACAGCTACACGATGTTGCTGGTTTATGTGGCTTTGCCAAGAACATGGCACTTTCTCTCTAAGCACTGCCACCTCTTGCTCCCAAACACGGCTGCTGCACTAACAATTAGCAGGTCAGGCCTGTATCACTGCGGAAGAGTTTACACAAAGTCATTCCTGCACACTGGCAGGGAAAGAGCCAAAGCTGCCCTGTGCTATAGGACGCTACCCAGACACTGCATCAGGCTGAGCTCATGAAGTACCTACAGAATCCCCCATGAACACAGCTCAGTTCTGTAAAAGCTCTTGATGATTTTGTGCTCCTCCTGCCTGTGGACCTCTCTTTATATCTGACTCTTCGAGCCCTCCAGATGCAACATTCACACTGTGGGTTTGTCCCCTCAGGGCAACCCAAGCTACTGATACACAGAAGAACAAGCCATTGTCCCAAGGACCAAGGATAACATAAGTCCTCCTAACTAAACAGGAGCAGCAAGGGGCAAGCATCACTGGATCCCACCCTTCCAACACCTCTGCTCCAACTGGGTCTCAGTGGCCAGAAGTCCAGTACCATTATCAAGAAGAAAGTTACTTTCTCTCAGCTCCTCTCTTATATTTTGCTACAATGCCTTTAGCAACCTGCAATAATTGTTTACGTTTCCAACCCAGATCTCAAAGCACCTGAAAGTGCCTTTCCTTTACCTTTTTCAGTGAGTTAAAACAAGACCAGAGGGACAGAGAAATGATGTCTTCAAATCCAACACTGTGCTCAAAAATCTAGACCCTGACCCTGTCCATGATAAACAGAGCAACCAGCTGGTGGGAGGACATCATTCTGAAACACTGCAATATTAGAACATCATCTACTGACACCTTCCTTCAATGACCTGTAAATGGAAGTAGGTGCAGCCCATGAAACCAGCCTGTCATTGACACAGTCTCTCTGTGTCTGCAAAACACAACCAGTTTTCTCTGTACCAATTGCAGTTTCCCAATTACCTTGAAGAATAAAACACTAAATAAATTAGATTAAATTTCTGGCATGTTGGGGAGTAAAATTTAGACTGCATGCTATGTCTCAGTGGTTAGATAGTCCCTGTTATTTTTCAGATATTCAGGCAAATGATCTTCATGTGCATAGGTAGGTTAGTACGTACTGATTCTTGGACATGCCCGTAACTGGGATAACCAAGTTAGATAAGTTACCATAGAAAGCCTTTGCAAAATGTATAACTTATATTTCTCTCATTAAAAAGGACTTACCTTTAAGGACTCCCAGAGGGGAAATTGTACCAGAGAGAAAGGAATCTGGAGAGGTGGGAAAAGAAAAAACAACAACATAATGTTACAAAAGCAAATGAGGTTGGCATGTTCCTCCACTGGCTAAATTAGGAACAGTTATTGTTCACTCAGTGAACTGCAGCTTTTTACATTTACAAATCTTTACGGACATTTTATGTATGTTGCCATTAAATGACTGGTTTCACTAAAGCAGTTTTACTTTGTTTATCACATTCCCTGCTGAGAGGTTAATGTATTGTTACCAGGGTGGCCTAGAAGAGCAATAAGCAGTATGATCTAGTGCAGGGACATTCCTGGCTCAAGAAACATGTTCCCAAGACCAGGGTCACCACTTAGAAGAAATACATCTTCAGCAATAGGTACTCTCACAAAAGCTGAGCTGAAAACAGTTGTGCTCCAACCAAGGCTTTGCAGTTGAGCATCAGCTGCAGAAACTTCCCTGCACATCTCCCAGTGATCTTGTGCTCGCTTGAGAGTTAAAAGCAGGATGTGAAGAGCTACCACAACCAACTAAAACTCAAAGGAGAAGCTTGATGGTTCTCATCTCCCCACGTTAACAAGAGGTTCTTCTGTCCAGCAACAGCCTGTATCTCTGCCTAAGCTCATTCTTACTGCCATATGTCCCCAGCAGTGCCTGTGCATTTTCAGCTCCTTTATAGATTTTGCCCTGATAAACACCCTGTGACAAACTTAACGCTCTTAACCATCTCTTGACACATGGGGGGAAAAAGCAAACACACACTGCTGTCAGCTCTGTAGGCTGTGCAGGGCTAACATACGTAGTAAATCAGTTCTCACCATAAACAGAGTGACTCTTTGCAACAAGAGACATCACTTTCCAAGATTATACCTTCCCATATAATTTCTTCCTCCCTCCTCCATTCTCTCCACTCGGTTATTCTGGCTCTTCCTTCTCCATCACCACTCTGACAAGCCCTGCCCGATATTCACCTCTAGTAATACCCTCTGCCATCTCCAGCCCAACAATCTATCTCAAGGTATCTTGGAGAAAGGGGTCCCTAGGAAAATAGTACTGTGCTAGAGTTGCCCTACAGCTGTATCTGCAGTTCTGCTTTGCCCCTTCCTAAATGCATCTGCAGTTATCTCCTCCGCTTTGACAACCGGTCAGCCACAGTTTCAAATCTTCTTCCAAGTATCTATTTTCTTCCCCTACTTGTACCTTCTTTCCTCAAACACGATGCACATTGGGTCACTTTTCCCTCTTAGGGTGATTTTGCAGTTTGTGCATCATTTTATCAGTCTCAGACAGCACTTATGCACCTTTTGCCATGTAGTAGATGTTCAACATGGGTCACATTTAACTAATACATAAATCTTCGATCTTTGTGAGTAATGTCAGGTTAAAAACATTCACTACAGAGAGACGAACTGCTTATTAAACCCAAATTCACACTACACAAAGGAATACGCAATGGTACATCCATTCAACATCACAAGAGTTAAAGAGTCCTGTCTGCTTCACTGTGTTGCAACTAATGATTAATAAATGAGTCTATTAGGTTAATCTGCCAGGCAAAACGAAGCTTGACAGGCACCTGCCACAGAACATTTGTTATCTATTCAGGCAGGAAATGGCAGTGAGAAGAAATCAATGTCACTGCTGTACATTGAGCTGACAAACTGAAATCTCAGAGGAAGTTTGTCATCTTGAGCAATGAGCAATATCCCTGGTGGCAGCTCCGAGCCCCACAATAAAGGTCAGACATAGCTCTTATTTATCAGGGCTTTGAAACTCTAGTGTAGCAATTAAATTTCCTTTTTAATACTGGGTGAAAAAGTCCAGCTATTTGACAGTAATGTGTGGTAATATATTTATGAGAAGATATATATATCTCCACATGCTGCTGCATCATTGTTGAATTGGAGTTAAATGGCATGATTTCTTTGCAATGTAAAATGAAAAGCAGCATAATCTTCTATTAGCGAGGCCAAAAAACAGGGGAAAAAAAGAAACAATACCCACTACATTTGCTTCAAATTTGTTAAAAGAGAGGAAAGGAAACGCTCTGTATCCAGCTGTACACCAAACAAAACAAGCTTTCAAACACAGCCTCCAAGTTTTGCTTTCCTATGCTCGCGAATGAGTGGTAAAATTATGCAGCTGTTAACAAGACAACAAGGGAAGCTTTTGACATAAACCCCTTTTTATCTCCCAGCTCGAAGCATTTCAATCAGGGAGGAAATTTGTTCATGACCGCTGTTTGATTTTTAGTGTTCCTGGTGTTTGCTTTCCATGTCCCGCTCAGCAGGGACCCGACCTGGATGGGGATTATCCGTTTCACTTTTCTCCGTGCGCCCCATGAGCTGCTGTGATGCGCAGGCTTCCAAAATGCCTGGGAAGAGGTCGGATGTATGTCAGTGGGATCTGCACAGCCACTGGGCTCTCTCCTCTCTAGCATGCCTGCAGGATATAGGCCTAAAACATTCCTAAATCACTCACTACGATAGAGTTTGAAAGCTTGCAAAAAGCAAACAAACTAGGAAGCTCCGCCAACAAAACCAAGCAGAGCAGCACCTTTGCCTGCACCAAGATGATCCTAAGGAGATGTCCTCCATTTTTTTACAGTTATCCACTATAGCCTGTCTGACAACATCCTGATTTAAAAGCAAAACCCACACAAGCAATTTCATGGGTACTGGAATGAAAGGGAGTCTGGCTTCCTGCAGGTTTTGTCATCAGATTCACTGGAGCCAAATAATTTCCAAGCTGGGATCATTGATCTTCCCGAGACGGGGACCTCCATCACATTTCCCTTCAACATTCCACAGCCCTGGTTGAAAGTTCAGTTCCAACTGCAAGCCTTCTCCAAACCCCTTCATTGCCTTTATTCTCCTCTTACTTTCTCCTCCTCAAGAAACTTAAAGGAACTTCTATTTCTCTTTGCAGCTTCTGCCTTTCCACCACACTTCTGTGGCCAGTGTGTCCAAGGGCTGCGCAGGCTGCCGCGCATTCATGTGTGCATACAACCCGTTTGCATAAGCCTTGTTTCCCTGAGAGACCAGAGCAAGCAACCCACGCCCAAAAGCAGGATTAATATATGCAAAAATGAAATAGCTCTGCAAGGGTAACTCGTCCAACAAAGCCTTTAGATGGCTAACTGCCCTTTATTCCTCTACCACGACAGAGGTGACAAAATCTCGCAGGCTGGAGACACTTCTTAATTTGAACATTTACAGCATTTCATTCCTTTTCATACTTTGCTTTTTAAAAGGAGAGCTTTTCAGCAATGAACAGTATCACACCCTGCCAGGCAGCGGTATTTATGCCTGAAATAGGCTAAGGCAACAATAAAAATGTGGTCTGCACATGTGGGTAACTCTCTGCCAGCAAATATGAAACCCTGGCGAGCTCCACCACCCTCTCGTTCGATGTTAATATAAAATAGACAGAGAGTACCAGTTCTCGTGTCTGGCCTAATGTTATATAACTGTGCTGTTTGCTCAACACGGTCGACTCTTACACCAAAAAAAAGAAAGAAGTTTAAAGCCCCCAGAGTGCTGTAAATTGTTGTTCTAAAATGTTTTCTAGGTTAGTGACATTCTCATTTACTCTAGTCCCTGTAGTCCTCAGCACCTGATGCCTAACGTAATGTAATGAATGTTGCAGGTTCAGGTTTCTACAGATCTGCTTAATTCCCCTGATACTGGAGTTTTAAAGATTCATTTTAATAAGTTACTTCTAGAAACAGTCTCACTTCACAGCCAGAGCAACAGACACACACATCTCACTCTACAAAAATACCAACCTGGAGATGGATGGCAGAGCAAAAGTCCTACAACCACATACTTTTTACAGTCAAAGAAATTTAAGGAGGAGCTTAATACTACTCATTGTAACTACAACACATTTTAATGTAACTCAAAATTCACCCATTCAATACCTGATGCTAAACTGCAAGCTGACATTGTTCAGAAGGAAACGCAGCAGCCAGGGAGCAAGGAGAGGATGCTGAAGGAGTGGCAAGGAGGGGGGGAGGAACCAAAAGGAAAAAAAACCCAACCAAACCAACTCATCAGCCCCTTCAGAACTGGGATTCCCTTCCAAATATGAGAATTCTTTCACACAAAGAGGAAACAGATGCCCACGGCTGGAATCTGCATGTGGCTTTATTCTCTTCTAGGATACAATAAAACTACTCTTCTTCTCATCCTCCAAGCTAGAAATTAAACAGTGGCATGTCATGCAGAGTCCAGCTGTGCTTTCTACCTCCAACCTTTATTAGCAATATATTTAAAAAGAAGAAGAAGAGAGAGCGAGACAGAAAGTAAGGGAGAAACTAGAAAAGCATAAGAAATGAAAAAAACTATGTGGTATGTGTTCTCAAAACAATATAAAACCTACAGATGTTCTTACTAATCTGTGGCACATGTTTGTTTATTCAGGTTTTCCCTGTCTCCAGTTCAGCA